AATTTATACTATTACCCCAGCAGACCCGAGAGCATTCGGAAAAATCTCAACTTCCTGGGAAGCATACAGTGCAAGTGGCCATTTATAGGCGCTAAAACATTAACATATTGACAAGACCTGCCGCTGTCTAAACAAACCTTAAATCAACACTAGTCTTGTTGTTTTTGGTTGTTGTTTTTTAATGTGTCTCCATCCCCTTGTAGTCCCGCCTCTTAAATAACCTAATAGCGTTGATAGAGGCGTTAAACCCTTACCATTTCACAATTTCACCCGCGTCGTCGTGGTGTGATTGAGAAGGTAGGGTGTAGTTCGTATCTGAAAAAAAGGCGTTGTTTTAAAAAGACATTGTTGGTGGTGCGAACATTCGTCATATTGCCTGTATTATATTTGGGATCATAGGTTCAATTTAAATCTAGAGCAACAACGAGTCACTCCCAAGCATTCATCTTTCCAATAAATGTTGCGACGACTTCGTCATCGAATTTACGGAGCTTTACATAGTGTTCTCCATATAAATTTGTTCTTAAGCGATTGCGGGAAAAATTTCAACGGACGGATATAAACGTTCGTTATGATAAGAACGAACACATTAAAACGCTCTTCACAACTAGATTCTAAATGAAAAGATCACTGATGCCAATTTCTTTCGACCATCTATCATTTCCCCTCTTTCACCCTGGTATTGGGTAAAGACAGCCAAGAAGAGCTCTCCGCCTGTCTCTGCTTGGTAAAATCTTCTCCACCTTCAGCCTCCCGTGTCCCAAATGCTTGCAATCTGCCTCTCGATTTTGCTCTCAGGTGGATGTCGGCCTTCCTCTCTTTCTATTCCCCTAAAAGATCCATTTGTCTTGTTAGGTGGTCTGTCTTCCTTAGAGTGTATCCAATCCATTATTACCTTTTTTAAAATCTCGTGTTCAATAGTTGTTATTTTGGTTCGCATTAATAATGTCAAATTTCTGATGACGTCCGGTGAGTGGATTGTCATGATCTTCCTGAGACAACCATTGATGTTGGAATTCGTTTACGAAGCATTGCAGCTGTCAACCTTTATTGATCTCTGTCAACAGGTAACGGGTACTTGTACTACGACGGAGAATCGGACGAGGCGGTGTCGTCTGCTTCCATCGCCATCCCAGTCGCCATGGCCCAGCACTCGGGAAGAGCATGCCTGTCTTTCGAGTGAGTACAAGCTCACCTCCGTCAGTCCAGAGAAAATAATGTACTACACACGACTTGTCTTACCGACTCGATCGCCTCAAAAACAAACATGTTTGTTTTCAGTTTCAGGCGATCGAGTCGGGCGATTGGCCCGATCCAGCTGTAGTGGGCACCCCGTATTAGAGGATTTATAAATGCCCATACCCAGTCCGAATTGAAGCCAAATTTGACAGACCTTGCCCTAGAATCACATGTGATGAATGTTGGTTTCCATTGAGGCATTGCCCCTTTGGATATGCCGACAGGGAAATAACTCTTGCAAATTACATATCCCGAGTTGGAAAGCTAGCATTGTGGTTTATTCTGCATTCGATTATTAATTTCAGTAGTGACAATAATACAGTAAAACAGTTAAAATGATGGAGATGATTATAATTAAAGTAGTAATAAAAATTATATTAATAATACCAACGACAATAAATGATGATGATGATGATGATGATGATGATGATGATGATGATGATGATGATGAT